GGAGCTGATGCTGAGTCTGACGACAGCGACACAGAAGAGGAAGCGGCGCTCTGTTTACCTCCGGAGGTCGTGGAGTTGCTCAGAAGTGACACCGAGGATGAAGAATTGAATGGATTTAGTGATTTGGAGTGAGATGGAGAGTTTGTTAAACTTGTTCTATTCTGTTGTTTATGTTATAGTTTATCTGAAGAACTGTTCATATGTGACATTAACAGTCTGTTGTTCTCTCTTCTATTGTTGTTACTAGAACTTGACTTTCAAGATGAAATGTCGGTTCCTGGTCTCTGATTTTATAAAATAAATTTCCTAACTTATAGTCCGGTACGACTTATATATGTTTTTTCTTCTTCATTATGCATTTTTTGCCTGGAGCGACTGGTGCTTGCATTTGGGAATGTAACAATAACTGAAATATGGTGAAATCGTATCGTCAAAAGTCTCACAATAACATTGGAGGCCCTCACAATATCTAAAATTACAAGTCTCTTTGCTTAAATTAATAGTTATAATGATTCTAATGTCTTTCTTGGTGATTTCAATGTCTTTCTTATTCTGTAAAGCACTTTGAATGACTTTATTTGTATAGCACAATTCATACACAAACTACTTTATGCCACTGACACAATAACAATAAAGCAAGACAAGATAATCTGTGTAAATCGTTTTTAAATAGACAGTATCATTAAAAGGCCTGAGCTGCAACAAATAAATAGTAGAATGATGCAGTAATCAGCCATGAAAATTACTTTTTCAACCCAAATCTGATTAGTATTACAACAAAAACACAACAAATCTCAGAACTTTTACAAAGAAAATATGTACATGATAAATACTGAGCCCCAGAATGTGTTGTTCCAGCCAGGTTTCATATACTAGTATTTAGTGGAGGTCTTGTTTTGTTATGTGAAGTACTTTGGTCAGCTGAAGTTAAACTATGGACTAACAACACAAACTAACCCAAGCTTCACTAGGGAACATTTTTGTCTGGCGGAGGGTCCACCACCTGCTTGTCATGGTCACTCTTGGGCAAGTTACTTTAAAACTGTAATGCGTTATTTATTATTACTCATTACTGTCACTTCAAAGTAATTCGTTACATTACAATATTACTGCATTTAAAATGTAAGGCATTACATTACTATTGCATTACTTTAAGTCACTCTCACCAAAATAACTGCGAAGATGCTGAACTTTTGCACCGTATATAGACTGAACCAGGATTAAACCAGGACTGAACCAGGACTAAACCGCGTCTAAACCAGGACGAACCGAGGACTAAACCAGGACGAACTGAGGACTAAACCAGGTCTAAACCAGAACTGAACCAGAGTTGAACCATCACTAAACCAGGTCTAAACCAGAACTGAACCAGGACTAAACCACATCTAAACCAGGACTAAACCAGAGCTGAACCAGGACTAATCTAGGTCTAACCCAGGATGAACCGAGGACTAAACCAGGTCTAAACCAGAACTGAACCAGGACTAAACCACGTCTAAACCAGAACTGAACCAGGACTAAACCAGGTCTAAACCAGAACTGACCCAGGTCTATAACCAGGTTTAAACCAGGACTAAACTAGAACTAATCTTGGACTAGAACTTGGAAGCGCTTTGCAGACAGGGTTTCCACAATGCGCGATCGGGCGTCAGCTGCGATTATCCCCGCGGAGCGCGGAGTTCTGCGCCGGTCCTTTCGCCCGTGGTCACCTGACGGTCTACGCGGGCCGCTGCTGTTATCGCGGTGATTTTAGTGAATTTGTATGAAGAAAAACCCACCATTTCAATCCAAGTTAAAAATGCATTGTAACGCGCATTACTGACATTTGAACCGAGTAAAATATTACATTTTTTTCCCCTGTAATGCTGAACATTACTGCGTTACGGCAAAAAGCAACACAGTACAGTAACTTGTTACTTTTATAATGCATTACTCCCAACACTGGTCATGGTGGCATTAAACGGACACAAGCAGGTAGTAGAAAAACAAAAAAAAAAAGTTACATCTTTAAGAGCTGGTAAATGAATGCATCTCATAATAGTTTTGTATTTGTTTTTGTATTCATGTATTTATTTTGAGCAAGAAGAGATTTACATTCTTTGGAAAATATAACATAAGTGAAATCATAATAAAAATGAAAATAACCACAACACAACAAAAACTTTGCCCAAAAAGGAGTAGGAAGACTTATTTAATCCCACCCCACTCTTCTAATGTAACACAATGAGCTTTCTTTTTTGCATTTTTCAGACATTTTGTATTAAACTACACAAACTATTTACAAGTGAGGACAAAGAGTCACTGTTATAGCTTGTCATAGTTCATTTATTTCTAATGTTGTTGCAGAGTGAGTGATTTTACTTCAAGCTGTGGTATTGTTTGAAATCATCTTATTGTTCTATAAATGACCTTTTCTGTATTTTTTGTCAATACAATTTGAGCTGTAAAAGGCTGAATAAATAACATCTAAATGTACAGTATCTATAATGAGTCATAGAATAGTTTTCTGGGATAATCCGGCTTCATATTCACAGTGTCAATGTCATAATTTAGTTAATATTATCGTTTAACGTCGACATTTTCTTCAGCAATCACACGTTAAACTTTGCTATCGTGACAGGCCCCGGCCGCAGCACTAAAGGAGCAATTAGGGAGGTTTTAAATACGAGCCGGTGATGAGGAAACCTTTAATCATGGCTGCACACCGTGGCCCTCTCCTGTTTCGTGCTCCTCTGGGCTCGTATCTGCTCGTGCTTCCCTTTCACCAGAGTAACCAAAGAAAGCGCGCGAGGCCCCGGCGTGGATTAAAGTGTGACACGTTAACTACCGAAGCCGGAGTCATCTCTCTTTACGCGTCGCACGGTCGGACATGCACCGTCGCCTCACAACAGCGGCTTCGGTGACACGCATTTAAACTTCAGAGGAGTTATGGGCCCACACTTAAGAGATAAAGACATCCCATCTGCAGCGATCAGGTCCACAGGGTCACAATGAGAAGTTGATGTTGTTGTCATCATTTGGGTTGTATTATTTGGCCGATCTTGACAGCAAACAAATTAAATCCAGACTATAAAGCCATTTTTTAAAGCCTCCAGAGAATAAGCGCAGTGTTGACTTGTTGCTGCACATGAAAACTGAACATTTCCCACAAATTAACCAACTTTATGTCATTATGTAGCGGCAAAACTCTTCCCAAATTCTCCATTGAAATCAAATGAATATGAAACAGCATGTTGATTAACTGTGACAGTAATAATAGGATAAATAACCTCTTGAGGTTGGATCTGGAGCTGGACTATCTCAGCTGGAGGACTGAATCTAACATCTAATGCAATACATGTTTTGCTGACGGGGGAAAATGAAATCGATAGAGGAAGAGTGTCAAATGCATTAATACGTCATCATTTTTCCAGGCCTACAAAAATACAGATTGCGTAAAGCAGTGATTCTGAACCAAAGGGGCATGGCTCATAACAGAGCTCAAGCACCACCTTGAGAGACTGAGAGATTAACATAATAATACAGTTTTCTCCTCTGCCCTGGTTTGATCATGGTTTGATCGTGGTTTGGTCCTGGTTCAGTCCTGCTCTAGACTTAGTAAACATAAGCTAGGGCTGCTCAATTATGGAAAAAAATCATCATCATGATTATTTTGGTCAATATTGAAATCAAGCTTATTCAAATGAATGGTTTTAGTTACATGATTCTTTTTTTTTTTCAGCATTTCTCTCTCTCTCAAAAAAAAACAAACAAACTTGATAATTGATGCAAAAATTTCAAATAAATAAAATAAATATAGGCTACAACTATGAACTATGAGCAGTTTTGCCATGTATAAAACATAAAATTAATAAAACATACTTTGAACATGAAATAAAGCATAAAAAACATAAATGTATCCAAAATAAACTATATATCCAGCTGTTCTACAATTTCTATATTTAAAAAAATAATATAAATATATATACTTATTTCTATTAAAAAAATCCCAAAATGAACTTTGCTAAGATTTAGGGCACACTCACAATAGGACTTTAGAAGTGCGCTGAGCTTAAGTACGATGTTGTAGATTCTATGTTCTGCACTCACACCACAGAGTTGATGATATGAGTTTGGAGATAATTTGACACACAAATCAAAGTCGCAATCAAAATTCAATTACCATATTTTTTGGACTGTCACTCCGGAGTATAAGTCAAACCAGCCAAAAAATGTAATGAAGAAGAAAAAAACACATATAAGTTGCACTGGACTATAAGTCGCACTTTTTGGGGGAAATTTATTTTATCAAATCAGAGACCAAGAACCGACATTTCATCTTGAAAGTCAAGTTATAATAATAACAATAGACGTTAACGACAGACTGTTAACGTCACATATGAACAGTTCTTCAGATAAACTATAACTTCAGACAAACATATAACAGAACAAGTTTACCAAACTCTCCATCTCACTCCAAATCACTAAATCCATTCAATTCTTCATCCTCGGTGTCACTTCTGAACAACTCCACGACCTCCGGAGGTAAACAGAGCACCGCTTCCTCTTCTGTGTCGCTGTTGTCAGACTCAGCATCAGTTCCAGTTAGAATTATTCCGGTCTTTCTGAATCCCGACAAGATGGTTTCAGTGTCACTGAAGTCCAGACTTTCTCCATCCATCCAGTGACCTTCAGGAAAGTTTCATGGTGCATCCTCCCAGTTATCGTGAAGCTGTGTTCTTCGTCCCCGCTTTCCGCCAGTCCTTCACAAGTTTCTCTCTCACTCCAAACTTTCTTTCTGCTGCTCGATTACCCTTTTTGGCTGAATATTTCACTACTTGCAGCAGGACAGCAGCTTTTTCTGTCTAGAGCGCCTTTTCATGGCTGTCAGTCTGAAAATTTTAATATATAATTCACACCGGAGTATAAGTTGCAGGACCACCCAAACCATGAAAAAAGTGAGACTTATAGTCCGAAAAAGACGATAATTGAAGAGCCTTAACACGAGCCCAGTCTCTCACCTTGTGTCTGTATGAGGTGCAGGATCTTCGCTGTGAGCTGCCGGGCCGTCTCCGCCTGTCTGCCCAGATCTCCGTTCATCCTCTCCAGCTGAGCCAGCAGCATCATCACCCTGGAGTTACTCGGAACACTGCAACAAACGCAAGAAAAACACAAAAACACAAGACAACGGGTCACATTTAGGTAGTGTAATAGACTAAAGACTTTCTGACGAATCCTTCATATATCACAGATTACGATAATAAAATAAATCGGAGAGATGAAAACTGGGGTAGATCAGAGCAGTGGTAACTTGAATATAAGAGAATAAAAATTACTCAGACATGCACGAATTACAAATACAAGTCCAGAGGGAAAATAAGAAGGGAGAACAACATGGTTAAAAGACATCCTTTGCATTCCCGAACAGCATTCGTTCTATTCCTGTAATGGAAATCCACCGTATATTCGTCCCTTATTTCTCCTGTGATAATCTGAGCCCAGAGTTGCTCCGATGGAAATACAGGGTCAAAAGGTCAACTGTTACATCAACGGCAACACGGACGAGCCAAAACTCTGAGATTATACCCAGTGGAATACAGCCTCTCATGTGTCCTTATATAGAGATATAGACTGTGAGACCCGCGGTGCAAATGCAGTTCGGACAGCAGAAATAGACAGCCGGGATGAAGGAGTGAGGTTAAACTGTGGTGCTTCACATTTTGCAGTATAGAAGAAAATGCTGAAACTGTTGATAATTGAGGTTTGAACAGTTTAATCACGGCAAATAATGATTTAAATTATAGGTGTGAGTCATCGCTAAAAACTGACAGTTAATGTTCCTGCTTTGGAGATATAAAAAATATTAACATCTAGTCTAGAGCTGCTCGATTATGGGGGAAAAAAAAATCATTATCACGATTATTTTGGTCAATACTGAAATCACAATTATTCAAACGATTATTTTTTAGTTGCACGATGCATTTACTCAGCATTTCTCCCTCAAAAAAACACTTTGTTACTGATAATTTACGCAAAACTTTTAAATTGAAAATAAATATTGGCTACAAATATGAACTTTAGAGCAGTTTTGCAATGTATAAAATTAATAAAATATAGTTTCAACATGAAATAAAGCACAGAAAAACATAATTATATCCAAAATAAACTATATATCCAGCTGTTTTACAATCTATATATTGAAAAAAATGTATAAACACACTAAAAATATTAAAAAAAATACACTTAAATAAACTAAAAAAGCTTGATTATAAAAGTTTGGAGATCATTTGACACACAAATCGAAATCGTGATGAAAATTCAATTAATTGCACAGCCTTAATCTAGTCTATAATCTATAAAAAAAATCAATATAAAAAAGTTTGCAAATAAATAGCTGATTAGAAAAAAAAATAAAATCTTGCAGTGTGACCCATTAAATAAGGATATAATGTGCCATTTCTGCAATTTTATGGTTCATTTATTTACAGCCTTTCTTGTATGGTCCTCCTAATCTGTCAAGCACTATAATTACTCTGTTTGCATTTTAAATTTCAGCCGAGACATTTACACGTTTCAGCACTTTTCTGATGAATTTCCACGCTATCATCTGAACAGAAAAAATATTTAGCTTCGTTTTTGCCAGTAGCCCTCACCTTTGTAAAGACATCGAAAAAATTCCACTTATTAAACTTTACTGTGGAATAAATAGAAATGCAAACATGGCGACATATGAAAAAAATAAAATAAAAAAATAACACATAATAGAGAAAATTCTGTGGACATCTGCGAAATCAGTGAGTGACGCGTTAAACTCATTACTCACACATTTTGTTCTAGTAAATGATCAGCTTTGGCCTTTTTAACAAAGACGTCTACAGCAAGTCCGCAGGTTTTTAAACTCCTACATCCAAGTCTCACGATACGATATTGTCACGGTATGAGCCTCAGGTTACGATATTTATTGCGATATCGTGGGAAAGCTCACGATATGGCGGGGAGGCTCACGATTAGGGATGTAACAATATCCAAATCTCTCGGTAGGATATTTTCCCGATATATATCTCACAATACGATATTTATTGCGATATTTTGTGAAGGCTAACAAAACTGTTAAAGGGACAGTTCGGAATTTTGGACATAGGGCCTCATTTCCTCGTGAGCCAGAGTGTTGGAGACGTGTGGAGACACTTTTTTAAATATTTCATCCAGTCCTTGTATTTGCAGAGGTCGCTGGTTCTAGACTAGTGCATGTCAATGGTCATGGTTATCCAGTCTTACCCACTCCACAAAACACCTGAAAAAAATCTATTATTACACCAGACTGTCTATGTGAATGTCTGTGTCGATAGAATAATTTTAGAAGTAAAACCAGCCTTGCATTTGAAGGATTTATGTCTGAGCAGCAGCAGCGAGTTGTATTTCCTGATAGAAAGCTTAGCAGCGGCGGACTGATATATGAGAAAATAGTCCCTCAACATGCGACGGCTCATGCGATGCAAGGTTAGTTTTATTTCAAACATTATTATATCAACACAGACATTTACATCAACAGTCTGGAGTAATAATAGATTTGTTTTGGGTGTTTTGTGGAGTGGGTAAGACTGTTTTTAGTGGCAGGAGAACTATGGCCATTGACATGCACTAGTCTAGCACCAGCGACCTCTGCAAATACAAGGACTGGATAGAATATTTAAAAAAGTGTCTCCACACGTCTCCAACACTCTTTTTCCTCTTAAAATGCATTGACAAGACTTAATCCAAAGAACTAAGACTTCAAAGTGCTTAAAACTGTTATTTCTTTTTGTAGTCTGCACTGAAATGGAGCAAAGGATCATGGTCTATGTAGTTCCCTCTGTCTTTTTTAAGCTATTGCTGCACCATAACTCTTAATTTAAGCAAAGAGACTTGTAATTCGATATATTGTGATGGTCCACGATATTACTGTGAGAACTTTGACGATAGCTGTCAACTTCACATCACAAGGTGGAACTGAGCATTTTGAGATTTAGAGACATAGACAGATAATAATAATAAAGGATTACTCAAATTAAGTAAACAAAACACAACTCCGGGTCTGTTTTTGAGGAGGTAACAACATTATAACGTGACTTAAAGCTCACAAAAGTTAATTTAGTTTAATTTAGGACCTTTAAATGTCACTGATTATAAGCTTGTTTTGTTTACGTTCAAGAAATTAATACTGAAACAATTTTTATTTGAATTCCGATCAATCAATACAAGGAAAAAATAATAATTCCGACACATTTTTGTCATTTCATCGCCAGTCTTATCCCAGGTCCTCCTGTGCTGAAATGGAAAGTAAGAGTGTCTGGTTGGTCTGGTGATGATGGTGGACTGTTGTCTGCCGCGCTGATCTCATTACTGAATGTCTCATACGGAGCCAAGATTTCACAGCTGAATGCTCGTCCAACAGAGTCAATCGCCCGCAGGGAAAGGGCGCGAGGGGGAGGGCCGGACCATTTTGGAAAATATACCTACTTGCAATTTTTCTGACAAGTAACGCTGCGCTTGAATGTTCTAAAACAAAGATTCAGTGGAGTGTGAGCGCAGGTTTTGAACATGTCCAGGAGGATTAATATTTGAGAGAAGACAGAAATATGAACTAAACTAATACAAGAATTACATGTACGTAGAGGTATAAACAAAAGGGGTATCAAGTATTATTTTGTGATTCAACAGTTGTGTAAACACTTAACAGTATAATTCCTAAATAAAAGCTTCTTTTGCTGTTGACATTTGTGATTTAAATGGTAAAATAATGTATTTAAAGCCATCTAACTTATTCCTGGCTCTCACAAACCCTTAGGCACATTGCTAGTCATCACATGCATGGATTTTCAAGAGTGCACGGCTTTAAAACAGGTTTATTTCCAGACAGTGAAATCCTCAAATCCTAGCCCTGCTTATGGCTCTTACTTCCAGGTTTGCGTCAGATTGTTTCCTAAAGACGGAGTTGTGACCGTCAGGTGGGTCGCAAGAGATTTTTTTAGGGTCACCTTGGCTGCGTTCAAACTGCAGCCTGAAGTGACCCAAATCCGATTTTTTGGCCCCTATGTGACCTGTATCCGATCTTTTTTTTTTTTTAATTATTTTTTTTTTTATTAAAGACAACAGAATATAACATTTAAAAAAAATAAAACAAACATCAACGTTTAACAATTACAATATTCAACACAAAACAAAAACAAAAACATAAAACAACAACCACAACACCCCAACAAATACAAAAAGCCCCCCCATTTCCCCCAACCACCCACACCAACACAAAGTCAAAATAATATAAATGTGATAGTGCAACACAAACACACCACCAGGCTCCCAACATCGACACACTGCGGCCAATTCATAAATAAAGTTCCTTTTGTCTCTCTTCCTTTTTTAATTAGAATTTTTTTTTTTTAAATTAGTCCCTATACTCTACTATACCTGTATCCAATCTTTTAATGACAGTCTGAACGACACAGATCCAATTTTTTCAAATGCGCCCCAGGCCACTTGGATATGTGGTCCTGAAACCGATACATATCTGATCTTTTGACATGTGACTTCAGTCTAAATGGCCAAAGCGCATTCATCCACCTACACGTTATCAACAAGCCACAAACATCACTATTCTGCGCTGAAGTAGGTGAAAATTGTTAATAAACTCCCTGTCACTGAAGCAAAGCACATCACCACTCACCACTTTTTGCTACATCTCCACATCCACACGTTCCTTTTATCGGACGTCGCTGCCGCTGCCCCACAAAACACCACGACCAAAAAAACCTCATCCTTCTCCTTCTCAATCTCCTCCTTAAAACAAGTAAGTTGTTCTCGCATCCATGTTTGGACAACTTCCGTAAACACAGAGCACGCTCGCTGCGGTTGACGTCGTCGTGTCTCCAGTGCACATGTGGGACACTTTCGGGCCGTTTAACGTTCACATAGGGGAAGTCACATTTAATTGAAAATGTGAACGACCTCGCAAAAATATCAGATTTCACAAAAAAATCGGAATTGAGCGTTAAGCCCTGCAGTCTGAACGTAGCCCTTGTCACGATTTGCATGTAGTTCTGCGATATACAGTTGTAGACATGGATCTGTGACCTTATTATCATTCTGGATCAGCATTTCTTCAGAATATTCAGTTCTCAATAGGGCCAGTATTTCTATTAGGGATGGGCATGATTAGTTGATTAATCGATAGTTGATCATTAAGAATTTCATCGATTACGTTCATTTTAATCGATAAACCGAACGTCGGTTGCTGTGCGTGGCGTAGGGTCACCAAATGTCCGTGTTCGGGGACAAACGGGTCCGTACATGTAGCTCTCTGCACCCAGAAGGATCGAGCAGACACAGTCGGTCAGCCTGCAACATCCCGAAGCGAAAATGCGTATTTAACGATGATTTGTACAAGAAATTCCACGCTTTATGTTCCGGTCAGGACAAGTGTGAGGCCATGTGCACAGTGTACAAAGCAGCACATATATTTTGGTGTCCAGTGGGAAAAAGCTCATCAGGACACCGAAAATATGAAAAAGTTTTACCAGGTGAGAGTAGCGCAATGTCGATGACGAGTCCCCACCCCCCGTACGGTGTCCTGGTTTTGACAAACGCAAATATGGTCACACTAACCTGTATTCCACTGAGTAGTGTCACATCAGCACACAAGAGCTGTTTTTTTTTTTCTTCGCTTAGTTTATGCAAATTAGCCATGCGGTTTTAAGTTTTGTTTCTGTGAGACTTGTGGAAAGCTGCATTAAACACATTATAATGTCAAACAGGCTGATGTGGCTCTAAAGTGGTTACGGTTTATATGTCATAAAGTTGAATTTATTTATGCAGATTAGTAGTGCAGATAGTAATAATAATGATGATCCTTTTAATATAAAAATGTTAATGATTAATTGATAATTGATCATTAATTCTCTCGACGATTGACTAAGAAAATTTTATCGAATGCCCATCCCTAGTCGCAAGAGATTTTTTTTGGGGTCGTCTTGTCACGATCTGCATGTAGTTCTGCGATATACAGTTGTAGACATGGATCTGTGACCTTATCATCATTCTGGATCAATATTTGGTCAGAATATCCTGTCCTCAGTAGGGCCAGTATTTCTATGGTTATTCTTTTCACTACTACATATATGTGTGAATTGGGATTTTCTGGGCTCACAAAAATGAAGACAAAGCACAGAAACAGACTGAATGCTGCGCCTGATCTGTGTGTTCGCTCTCCTCCTGCACCTGGACTGGAAACGTGTCACAAAAACACAGACAGACCCACCTATCACATTAGAAATATTGAAATGTTAAGACATGTTTTGTATCTTTTTCTAGTTATTTTATTGATTTCTTCCAACATTGCTGGTTCAATTGAATGTTAAAAAGAAAAAGAAATGGGGGATCCCTTTTATCGCTGGTTCAATTATCGTTTTTCATTGTTTAAAACTTGAGTAATACTAACTGAGACACGATCACTCAGTCAACAATAAAATATCCTTAAACATTAATGTTCAATAATTGTCAAATCCACCTTTATTTTGTGATTTACAAATAATGTCTGTTGACTTGTGTCGCGAAGGTTTAAAATATGGGTCCCCAGAAAAAAAGTTTGTGAAACACGGCGATAAAGTACTTGCGCATGGAGATAAAGTACTTTACGATGTATTTGTACTTTGTACTTGTACATTATGTAAAAAACAAAAAACAAAACAATATTTACTCGCTTCCAAGTAAAGTTTAAAAGGTCATCAAGCTACAAATAGAAAAACACGCACCTCAGACCTGATTCTTAGTCCACTAACAAGACTTAAAGTAGGGATGTGTCGATACAAGACTGGAATATCGGTGCAGATACTGAACATTTTGATGGGTTGGATATCAATTCCAAGACGTCTGTTCAGTCGATATCCTAATTTGGTCTATAAATTTGACGATTTTGCTGAAAAATTTTGACCCCCAGCGTTGTTCTAGTTACTTTGCGTGATAAATAACAGTTACAAAACACATCTGGATAATTTTTTACCAAACTCTGTTTGTGTTTAAATGAAATAAATTATGTTTTCAGTCTCTGCTCTAGTATCAGTTCATATTGTGACGATATCATACTCTGAGATGGGGGGCAAGAGCCAGATTTCCCTGTACATTACATTGTACTTCGTTATGAAATATTCAAAAGGTAAATGCTGAAATGTTGAAGCTGATTGTTTCTATTAGTGACTAGACCCAAGAACTCACTGTATTTATTTTAGTCGTAACCCCATCTGTCTTAAATACTATTGTCTGGCTGGTTGGGTGTTTGTCGATACTCAAATCCAAAATATTGACATCAAAACAGAAAAAGCTGGATCGGCGCATCTCTCGCTTAAACAGTAAACAGAATCACTTGAGGACAGTGAGAGGACACAGGTGTTTGTGACAGTCGTGTTCACTCAGCCGTGTGCGTTCTGTAAAATTTTAAATGCTCCACTTACCCTTTCTCTGAGGCCATTTTGGGTCTGTTCATTTTCCCCACATCAACATTTCATCTGCAACCAAAACAGCAGAGTTTAATGCAACAGATAAGAACAAACAAGCCACCAAAACCACAACTCTTTGTTTCTTATTGAGTCTTTGGACCACACTGCTGTATGAAAAGTGACAATACAGTCAATGTTTAATAATAAGGTTGTTCAGTTAGTGTGGAATTAAACTTTTTAATTAAATTGTGATCACAGAGGGCCAAAATTAAAAACTGGTGTGGCCAAACTAGACATTTATTGAAAACTTTCAACAGCATGGGCTTTCGAGATATGTAATGTTAAATCTTTTCTTATTAAAATAAATGTTTAATAATAATTTTGCTTAAATATGGAATCCAAAACAAGCAAAATATAAAATAATAAGAACATTTTAATTAAATAAATAATGTCTCTATGGTCTATCTGCAGCCGGCGGGCCAGCTCTGATACATATTTGATATGATCTCATGGACCAAATATAATTATATCGCAGGCCAAATTTGGCCCCTGAGCCTGAGTTTGACATGTCAGAGTCTGTATAAAGAAGTGGACTAATGGGGTGTGACGTCACCCACAGCGTTCGGCTCCAGTCAAATGAAGCTCATGAGGCTGGCAGTTATGGGGCGAATTTCGAGCCAGACCCATATTAGGAAAAGGCATTTATTGATGGAGGAAATAGCTCAATAAAAACACCAGGATCACGTAGAGCGGGTTAAAACAAACAATTTAAGACTAAAAATGACAAGATTCACTGCAGCAGTTACAAAGAGAGGGATGACAATTTTTCAATGTAAAGTCAATTGGAACCAGAGTCGATGGACCCAAGAGCAACCCCATGTTCACTTCCCATTTGGAATTTATGTCCAGTAAGTTTTGGAAGAATAAATTAGATTTTTTTTTTGATAAATGGCATGGGATTTTAGTTTGTTTTTGTTCACGGACCTTATTATTGAAAGCTGTATGTGTTTATTCTTAAAGCCAAAATAGTTTAAAACCGAAATAGTGATCCAAAAATATGAAGAATAATATTTTTATTTACATTTTTTTCCATATCTCCCAGGCCAAAGTACTAATATTAATATGAGATGATTGGCTGTCATAATTCAGGGACACCATGTTCTGAGTTATTTTGAGACAAAGCACATAAACATGTTACACTTCAACTATATTAACTGTAATAAATAAAGATGACCTACATTCACTCTACGTTTAAAGCTGCGTTTATTGAACTAATTAACCTCGCTACACCACAAAACATTATGACCGAGGGTGTCGAATGGCCTGGACATCAAATACAGAAGCTTGTGTTGAGATAAGATCAGTCATAAACAGTACACTATGCTCATCCATTATTCAACAACTGCTGGCATCAGGTAAGCCAGACATTTTCAAGTTCAGATCAGGCAATTCTGCAAACTACAAATGAGAGACACAATCAATAATGAACTACAAATGTGCGCAAATACATCTTATGCAGTTGCTTTAGGATTTAGGTTGTAGCTGCTGAAATTTAACCTACATTTTAACACAAGACTAGGGTTTTTAAAATAACAAACTGAGACACCCCTGAATTGTGGTGGTTGGTAATGATAAAATTGTGAAACGAGTGCGTAACTAAGGAGAATTGTTCTGCATGTAGCCCATTCGTGACTAACATGTGAGTCAGTATAGTCACATTTTATTTGTGTTTTGGTCGGTTTTAAGTAGCTTTTCTGGATTTTAGCTAAACAAATGACAATTTATGTCTCTCTTTGCTGTTGGCAGGGAGCAAATTTGGGACACCTGAGACATTTCTTGTATAAAACTGGGACAAAACAATGGTTTTGGATAAATCTGCTGGGACAAGGGACACAAAGTTCAAAACTGGGACTGTCCCGGGTAAATAGAAACGTCTGGTCACCTTAATGTAATTACTTTAGGGATATGTTTTAGCTGCTGGAATTTAACCTACATTTTATCAATCTGTCAGTCAGTTTTAAGCAGCTTTTCTGTATTTTAGCTACACAAATGACAATTTATGCCTCTCTTTACTGTTGACAGGGATCAAATTGGTCAAAAACAGGGACACCTGAGACATTTCTTGTGCAATACTGCAACAAAGCAATGGTTTTAGATAAATCTGCTGGGACAGGGGAAAGAGGGTTCAACACTGGGACTGTCCCCGGTAAATAGGGACGTCTGGAATTTAACCTACATTTTAGATTATCAAAATAACAAACTGAGATACCCTGGTTTGTGGTGGTTGGTAATAATAAAAATGTGAAACGAGTACGTAATTAGAGAGAATTGCTCTGCACTTGTCCCATTTATGACTAACATGTGAGTCAGTGTAGTCACATTTTCTTTGTGTTTTGGTCAGTTTTAAGCAGTTTTTCTGTATTTTAGCTACACAAATGACAATTTATGCCTCTCATTACTGTTGACAGGGATCAAATTGGTCAAAAACAGGGACACCTGAGACATTTCTTGTGCAATACTGCAACAAAGCAATGGTTTTGGATAATTCTGCTGGGACAGGGGACACAGGGTTCAAAACTGGAACTGTCCCAGGTAAATAAAAATGTCTGGTCACCCTGATGTAATTGCTTTAGGGTTAGGTTGCAGCTGCTGTAATTTAACCTACATTTTAAGACTAGATTATCAAAATAAACTGAGGCACCCCTGGTTTGTGGTGGTTGGTAATAATAAAATTGTGAAACGAGTGCCGAATTACAGAGAATTGTTCTGCACTTGGCCCATTCATGACTAACATGTGAGTCAGTATAGTGACATTTTCTTTGTGTTTTGGTCAGTTTTAAGCAGTTTTTCTGTATTTTAGCTACACAAATGACAATTTATGCCTCTCTTTACTGTTGACAGGGATCAAATTGGTCAAAAACAGAGACACCTGAGACATTTCTTGTGCAATACTGCAACAAAGCATTGGTTTTGGATAATTCTGCTGGGACAGGGGACACAGGGTTCAAAACTGGAACTGTCCCAGGTAAATAAAAATGTCTGGTCACCCTGATGTAATTGCTTTAGGGTTAGGTTGCAGCTGCTGTAATTTAACCTACATTTTAAGACTAGATTATCAAAATAAACTGAGGCACCCCTGGTTTGTGGTGGTTGGTAATAATAAAATTGTGAAACGAGTGCCGAATTACAGAGAATTGTTCTGCACTTGGCCCATTCATGACTAACATGTGAGTCAGTATAGTGACATTTTCTTTGTGTTTTGGTCAGTTTTAAGCAGTTTTTCTGTATTTTAGCTACACAAATGACAATTTATGCCAGTCTTTACTGTTGGAAGGTATCAAATTTGTCAAAAATAGGGACAACCTGAGACATTTCTTGTATAGAATTGGGACAAAACTATGGTTTTGGATAAATCTGCTGGGACAAGGGACACAGGACTCAACACTGGGACTGTCCCGGGTAAATAGAAATGTCTAGTCACCTTAATGTAATTGCTTTAGGGATATGTTTTAGCTGCTGGAATTTAACCTACATTTTAAGACAAGGCAGCCCCATCCCCAGGCAACAGAGATAAAGATAAAAGTCTGATCGCTCCTAGTTATGATAAATATTTTACTGTGCATGGATGATCCGCTCGTGTAAAGAGTAAAACCTGTGCAAAGCGGTTTTTTTTTTCTTTTTTTTTCTGGATGCTAAGAAAAGAAGCTAGCCTAGCCTTGGCTGCACCTGCTTTGGTAGTGACTCAAGGGTCGCCAGTCTGCGCCTCCGACCGCTAATACTCTGTAGTTAATATGCTAACAACAATGCGCGCAGAAATAACGCCTTTAAAACATCCAAAGCGATAATTCTAGAGGTGATGCAACGGTGTAAATATTGTTCCACGTACCTGCGCGATGAGGAGCACTTGTCCCATGCAGGTTGGCCCGTTTCTGGACAAAAACTAAGTGTATTTGAGCGTTGCCTAAAACGCCCTGGTGATGTTGTGGTCAGCCCCCAACTATCAGCTGGGCCCACTGTAAACAACGCGAGAACACGTTTTAACCGGAATAAATACACGCAAATAAACTCGTGCGAGGCATATAAATGCACAGATTGTAATATGAATAAATAGTCGTAAATTAATTTAAAATAACGCAATTAAAATCCGCAATCTGTAAACATATCCAGCCAAACGTCCCCACGACGACGTCACAATTACGCGCCGCACCGCAATGATATCGAAAATATTTTGACGGCGAAATATTTTTAAACACACATTATAATATTAATACGAAATAGCCTTAAAATAATATTAAATAATTATAATTAAAATCCGTCATCTGTAAACCTATGCAGCGAAACTGACCCGTGACGTCACAAGTATGCGCCGCGCTGCACGGACGTCGAAGGGATTTGGATGGTGAAATATTTCAAGGTATCTTCCGTTGTGGTGTATAAATTGGCGTTTTGGTGACTCCTTGCGTCCGTGTCTATCGTTTTGCGGAGCGCGGTTGTGTTTGCGTCTCGCGTGTCCCCGTCGATTGCGTGTAATTTGGTGTTTTAGCATGTTAGCTTTTAGCATGCATCCCCATTTATTGCACAGATGCGAGACAGCGAACCTTCTGACTTCATCTAACGTGAATTATGAGTAATCGTGAAAGTTAAATGTAATGATACGTGGGGTAACTTGTTGGAAAACGGCAGCATTTGAGCCAGTATGTGCTATTATTTTATATTGTGTAAGCTTTTTGACAGTCTGCCAAATCCTATATCAATGAGGTTGACCTAGTATTGCTTCATGGGTACAAATGTCAATTCAATACATGTCTTATCTGCAGTGTTGGGAAGTTTACTTTTAAAATGTATTCCCCTACAGATTACAGATTACATACCCCAAAATGTAGTTTGTAACAGAATCCATTAAGTTACTTAAGGTGAGTAATGTAATCTGAATACTTTGGATTACTTGATTTGCTGTAGAGAAGCAAAGACGAGGAAATCTTCACATAAGATGTTTTATCTGCTAAAAGAAAATGAAAAACCCAGACTTTACTTAACCGTATTAAAAAATATTATTGATAGAAGAGGAGGAGACACATCCGCGCAGCATGGATTAGTCCTGTTAAATCCTGGTTAAATCCTGGTTTAGTCCTGGTTTAGACCTGGTTTAGTCCTGTGAAATCCTGTTTTAGTCCTGGTTTAGACCTGGTTTAGTCCTGGTTTAGACCTGGTTTAGTCCTGTGAAATCCTGTTTTAGTCCTGGTTTTCGTTCTGGTTTAGACCTGGTTTAGACCTGGTTTAGACCTGGTTTAGACCTGGTTTAGACATGGTTTAGTCCTGGTTTAGACCTGGTTTATTCCTGTGAAATCCTGTTTTAGTCCTGGTTTTCGTCCTGGTTTAGACCTGGTTTAGACCTGGTTTAGGCCTGGTTTAGACATGGTTTACACCTGGTTTAGTTTCTGGCAATAAGTGGAATTACAGAGAGAAAAAAGAAAGTGATATAGCCCAAAATGTGAAAACAGGAAAATACCTCTGTGTAACCCATTTATTTCAACAAAGTAACTGTAATCCAATTCCCACTCATTAAAACAGTAACTGTAACTGAATACAGTTACTCATAATTTGTACTCTGATCACGTAACTCCACTACATGTAATCTGTTACTCCCCAACATTGCTTATCTGTAACTTGGCCCAGGCCCCACTGAAATTATGTCAATTGTATTAGTTTAAGATGCTTTAAAGGAGCTATACCCACTTTTTTGTTTTTTTTTTGTTTTGCCCCAGTACATATATATTGTAAAAGCAGCTCTCAAGACTTGGACTTAGATAAAATTTATTGATCCAAAAGGGAAATTATTTGGACACAATAGCTCACACATCACAACAGAAAATCATTATCACAGTTATTTTGGTCATTATTGTAATTACAGTTACTGAAACGATAATTTTTTAGTTACATGATGCTTTTAGTCAGCATTTCTCTCTCAAAAATACACTTTGTTATTGATAATTTACACAAAATTATACAAAAATATAGGCAACAAATATGACCCTTAGAGCAGTTTTGTGATGTATAAAACATAAAATGAATAAAATAAACTTTGAACATGAAATAAGGAAGAAAAACATAAATAAATGTATCACCACCGGGTGTGGAGTGAAGGAATAATTCTTTGTAAAGTGTCTTTGAGTGTCCAAAAAGTGCTATATAAAACTGATGCATTATTATTATTAAATGTATCCAAAATCAACTATATATCCAGCTGCTCTACAATCTCTATGTTTAAAAAATAAAATAATTATACTTATTTATATTAAGAAATATCCCAAAATAAACCTTGATAAGCTTCATGGATACAAATGTCAATTCAATGTAACTTGACCCAGGCCTCAGTGAAATTATGCCAGTTGTATTAGTTTAAGCGTAAGAACCACCTGCTTTAAATGGGCTATACCTACTTTTTTGTTTTTGTTTTTTGCCCCAGTGCAGATATATTGTAAAAGCAGCTCTTAAGACTTAGACTTAGACAAACTTTATTGATCCACAAGGGGAATTATTTGGACACAATAGCTCAAACATCACAATAGAGCTGCTCGATTATGGAAAAAAGTCATTATCACGATTGTTCAAACAATTATTTTTTTAGTCACATGATGTATTTGTTCAGCGTTTCTCTTTGAAAAAACAAAACTTAACACTTTGTTATGATAATTTACGTGAAACCTTCAAATTGAAAATAAATATAGGCTACAAATATGATCCTTACAGCAGTTTTGTGAAGTATGTAAATGAGAAAGTGTTCTCAACTGACTTACCTGGTAAAATAAAATAAAAAATAAAAAATGCACACTACACTAAACGCTTTACTGGGCAGACCTGCACAGACATGTTGACTTAACTATACGGTTTTCAAAAGGTGCTTCTGTGTTGATGCCAATAGCTTTAAGTTCATGCCAGATCTGTGTGAACGATCAGATTTGCTCCGAGTCTGTTGAGGACGTTGAGTTCAGTTAATGTTACCCCGGGATGACACAATGACATGTTATCTGAAAAACGTTATGTACTTCTGTTGCAACAATAATAGCGGTCTTTCCAATCCTGTCGTATTTAAATGTTTAAGTATTGATTTGGCTTTCTAATTTTAGCTTTTTCAACAGAAGTATCGACCGACATCTTCAAACTAACTGTTGTGTAATGTTATGTAATCGTTCCTGGAGTGGCCCGTGATAGGAAGAGTTTGAAAAGTAGTCATCACTTGATAATCTGCTCTACTACGATTGTACTATCGTTAATTTAAAAACAAATATTTGATCAGTAATTTGTAGGGATGTAACAATAACCGAAATATCGTGATATGGTATCGTCAAAAGTCTCATAATAATATCGTGGGCTGTCACAATATATCGAATCACAAGTTCCTTTACTTAAATATGTGGTTTTATAGTAGCAACAGCTTATAAAAATAGGGAACTACATATCATATGATTCATTTCAGCGCAGACAACATGAAGAAATATGTTTTTTACTTGAATTCTTGGGATTACGATGGAAATAATTCACACCAAAATCTTGTGAAGGTATTTTAAAAGTAAAAAAGTTTCCCATCTACCAAATATCGCAATAAATATCGTACCATGACATTTGGATATTGTAACATCCTTGTAATTTGACATGTTACTTTGTGGTCTGCTATGGTACTTCAAATGTATGAAACCGTTTTTCTTCTTGTTGCTTTAGCTGTCACCATGGTGATGAAGTCCACGGTGGACGATGATGATGCCGGCTGGGGGCTGGGCATCCCCGATAAGATGAAAAACAACGCCAACTGGGTGGACATCACGCACGAGTTTAAGGGCGCCTGCAAAGGTGAGGGCCGTAGACTGTAGTAAGATATAAATACACTCTGTTGTGAGGGATCTGGAACCTGACAAGTTAATGAAGAAATGTAGAAATAGTGATATCATTGTTATTGTGTTGTGGAAAAAATTATACATCTCTTGAAGATAAATAATGAATCCATTTGCAAAGCCCGATGAGTTTTTGGAATATAGACCAAGGTTTATTCTTGTTACAGCAGATATGGACAGGGCCTAGTCCTGCCCTGGCCACAGCCCAAGAACCTCTCATCACCAGCAGTGTGTCCCTACTTCTCTCCCCAGTATCTGCCCCAGAGCTCAAATGCTCTGGGGCAGATACTGGGGAGAGACTCTGAAAGTATTTATACAGAAACACAAGTTACATACGTACATATCAAAGCAGAGTGACTTTGTTGTCTTACCTGTCCTCAACTATATGTTAATTTAGTATCAAAGGGCTTCCTGAAGGAGGTTGTGTCTGATGAACCTTTACACATGTTAATGACTGGTCTGGGTTTCAGGTAGAAATCACATTCATTTACACAGAGACAGACTGAAAAAAATCTTTCCACAATCAAAATTTCTATCACAATTGCAACAGACTTAGTAGATCGCAGTCGCAGTAGCATCCTTCATCTGACAGAATTTACTTTTGTAGCCCTTATCTCTTTGTAAATTTGACAGCTAAATTAAGACATTTATATTTTAATTTAATTTAACTCACTATGAATTCAAATGACATGTCAACAATCTGTTCAGTGTTGTTATTGAACATCATATTTTTCTCATATTGTGCAGTCACTATTAGGGGTGAAACAGTAACAAAAATATAACAATATTGCATCGTCAAAAGTATCTCAGTAATATCGGTGGCCATCACAATATCGAATCACAAGTTTCTTTGCTTAAATTCATTGTTATAGTGCAGCAATAGCTAAAAAACAGAGGGAACTACATCGACCATGATCCTTTGCTCTGTTTTGGTGCAAACTACATGAAGAAATAACAGTTCGAAGCACTTTTAAGTCTTAGTTCTTTGGATTAAGTCTTGTCAAGGCATTTTAAGAAGAAAAAGTAGCAGAGTATTCACAATTTTGTTCCACATAATATCGCAATAAATGTTGTACCGTGAGATGTATATTGTAAAAATATCATACCATGAGATTTGGATATCGTTGCATCCCTGTCATTATAATTTGTCTGAGTTACCATGTACCTACTCTTTATTTTTCTCTTTTTTAAACACAGAATTGAACCTGGGGGAGTTGCTCCATGACAAACTGTATGTATAAAATCATACATAAAGCTTTTGTTAACCCCTTCTCTTATAAATCATGA